AATTTTGTGAAATTGTGTTATTTTTTTTCTTTTTTTTAAATCTTTTTGTTTCTACCAACAAGTTCTATGCATAGATATCGCCTTTTACACGGAACACGGAGCGTTCCTTAATTTGGGATTCCAAGCAACTGGATTCCGGTTTCCAGGCTCCTGGAATTCCTCAAGAATACTGGATTTCACGATATTGATTGAATACAAATAATCCCCGCTTTTTTTGTCGTCAGTGACTCGTTTAGAACAGGAAAACATTGAATTTGCTTAATTGTGATTCCGTATTCTTGTTTGATAAGATTTCATTTCCATTTTCGCSGATTCCGGATTCAGAGCTAAAATGTTATTGGATTCCATGTCATAAGGCGAGCAACACTAAAGCTCAGTTATCTAATTCTGCCAATATATGCAGTATACATGTTTCGATAATTCATGGTTGCCTGCGCCATCTTGAAAGGTAGCCTCGGCTTAGCATCAAAGCGAGACGGCCGCCGGGTGTGCAATCAAAGAAAATCTTCATTMACACCTATACAGACGATTATTATCRGTATCACGCTCCTGAAAGGTCGTCTCCCTTTGATGCAAAGGCACGGCTACCTTTCAAGATGGCGCAGGGAACCTTGGAGACTATTGCCTTAGATACTAGAAATCATTTATTTTTCACCCAAAMWATACCAGTCCCTGATTGACCACWWGCAATKGTCATTTTAACTGACATCTATTGTTCTGTAGTGTCTGTTGTTGCTTTAGAAGCCTTTARTTCAGTAATTCGTCACCTCAGTTCCGCAAGGAAAGCATGAACGTAGGCTTTTGCCTGTTGAAATTAAGTAAGAAAGTAAGACTATTTAGCGGACAATATTACAGACAATTTTCAAATGAAAGTCAAAAATTTAGATGTTCGTAGCAGTACGTAGCGTACGCACGTTCAAGATGCCGTAACATAACTGGCCATGACAATATAATATTGCTTTAATTTAGCTCCAATCGTTGCCAAAATGACTTGGAACTTGGAACAAAAAATTATATGTCTTCATTCTAACATTTTTCCTCGATTACTTTTTCGTAGTTCTCTCCCTTACCCCTTTCATCAATGTTGGGTCTTGTTTTGGATGGTTATGTTCTCTCGGAAAATGCTTTATGACAACATTGCATTTAGGGGGCCAGGGAGGGGGGGGGGGGGTTGTCTGCTTGTGTTTGCTTAAAAAAAGGAAATTCAATTCAATTGAATGATCGAASGATTTTTTCAACGATTGTAGTTTCCCTGCCAAGTTATGTAGACATTTTGTTGAAGTTATAAAACAACCCATTGTCAATTTTTGACTCACCTATTCGTCACACTCACATGGCTCACGACTACGAGAGGCTGGTGGTTCTCTTTGTGTTCGAAGCACAGAGAGGCTTTCTCGGTCAATTGTGACATCGTCACCCATGAGGTAAAAACCGCTCCATTTCATTGGTTCGTGTGGGTACTTTGCTCTCATATAACTGATTGTGAGGTGAAGGCTCTCACTAGCGCTTCTCCTTACATCCCAGTCCAAGAAGTAGGTGTAGAAGATCGTCATGAACTCACATGTGCTGTAGTCATTAACCCTCCACAGAGAAACCAATACTGCTGCAGCTCCTGCAGCTAGGAATGCACGAGCGATGCCGACCACTCCTTCGGCACAGATCTTGCCTAGCCCACTGTTACATCCACTTAACACCACTAAACGAGCATGTATGTCTTTTTCCATGATATCCTCCGGCTTGAGAAGATAGGAGTCATCATCACCTTGTTGAGGCGATCCTTCAGGAGAAAGGACGATGGCAGATGGGTCGAGTTTGATGTGGCATGCAAAATGAGCAATACAGACATCAAATAGCCTTTCCAGAACAGCTGATTTAGTAGCTCTTGGACCAATTAATGGCATAACACCGTCAATGATGCGGGCAATTGCTTCTGCTTCTTTTTTGGCTCCTGGCAAGGGTTCCATGCCTTCAATCTGATCGACAATCGGATTCCCGATGATTAGGGAACCCGAACGAGCGTAGTAGTTTTCAGGGAAGGTCTGGTGGGACAGTAAAGTTGTCATAGATGGAGATGATCTCAGCTTTTTATCCTGGGAAAGAAAGCGCTTCGTCGTTGGGTGTTGGAGAGCTGGAAAGGGCAACAAGTACAATAACCCTTCGGGAATAATAACTAGCTCTTCTGCTTTTATATCGCCCAATGTTTGAATCAGCAGCTCGTAGAGTTCTTGATATGGATTTTCTACGGAATCTTCTTCAGAATTGACATCAGAGAAGTTTTGACAGTCATTTTCTGATGGTGGACCGGCCCTCACCATGGAGCAACAATAGACTTCGTGTTTATCATCCTCGTTGTCGGCGGTTCTTGATACAGGTGGCTGTTGCTGCATTGAACATCTGCTCATTTGACTCCAAACGTCTCTGATCAGTGAGTCCAAATGCGTTTTACTTTTTATTTGGCAGTGCAATTTTAAAACTGCTTTATCTTTGCCTTGGTCACTTTTCCCTTTTTGTATTGAATAGATAAATAAATCCTTAAAACACCAGATATAGAATATAATTGCACATTTCCTGTCCAATATGTAAGATTCAATATCAGAATAATTGATATCTTTCTCTTCGATTTCTCTATGGAGAAGTTGGAATTTCAGCTCTTTTGCACGGCAGCGTTCGGCTACCCACAATGCATCGCCATAGCGTTTCCTTTCAATGAGTAGTTTGAACCTAGCCTTGTAAGTACCAACATACTGTTGTATGAGTGATATCTTATGGTCTTCATTTGTCAAGCTTCTGACTGTGCCTTCTAGAGTTGTTAGTGATAATGTCTGGAGCTTCTCACACATTTCAATTTGTTCAAGTGAAAAATTAGAGAGCAAAAGATTGAGCGTTAATAGTAGAGGAAGGCTCACATCTTGGCAGTATTGGTTCTTTTGACTAGTAATTGCAGAACAAATGTTCTCAAACAGATTCGTTATGCCATTTGTATTCTCGAGTAACATCTTCATTTCATCTGGTGCAATTTTTAGATAAAATGTCAACAACATGGGTGATTGCAGGACTTTATTGTAAATAGACATGTCCAATGACGATAATAAGCACCAACAAATAAAGATTGAATGCGGATCTTTCCACAATTCAACAATCTCCCTAATAAAACCGTTTAAGTCAAACTGGTCGTCTTTTTCCAGTAATAGTAATTCGTCCATCAGTTCACAACTTGAACTTAAATCTAATTCTTCGTTTAATAACTCATCACCAAGTACCTGTAACACTTCTGTTAAAATAGTTAAGTGACCCAGTGGTGGTAAGTTTTCACAATTTTTCGGATACTCTTGATATTGCTTAAGATGAAATTGACAAACCTCTTGAAGTGAGAACACCTGATTCAATTCCAATTCGCAGATTTTGCTTTTCTTGGCGTTTCGAAGGGCCTCCTCAAAGGATAACAAAGCTGCAGCGTGATCACCCAAATGTAGGTAGACGACACCTCTCTTGAAGTAGCCTTTGAAATTCCAACATTCATCCTGGGTATCATCACTGGCTAATTTTAGGATATTGTCTGCAAGTTGCAGTGCCTCCGAGTACTGATTTAATTCACAATACAAAGGAATCAAATCTTCCAAAGTCTCCATTAGCAGGGACTTGTTCTCATGTTGCAAATATTGAACAACTTTTTCGCTATTTAAAGCAAAATATTTTATGCCTTTCTTGTTGGCAATATTTCTAGCCATAAAATGGTTTCTAATAACCTCTTTATCATCATTGCTTTGTTTGGAGATACTAAATGCTTTATTCAGAGCTAAGCAGCAAGAATCGAAGTCACCTGAATGTCCATAAGCGTCGCCTTTCATCATATATCCATGGGATTCCCATCCTTTGTCATTAATACCTTTGGCTACTTCTATGACCTTTTCTGAATATTGTATTGCTTCAGGGTAATTCTTTACGTTTAAATGCAAATCAACCAAATCCTTTAAAGTATCTAAGAGTGGATATTTGTTTTCTACTGTGAAAAGTTCAACTGCTTTCCTCGCATGCAAAACTGCAGCTTGTAGATCGTTCTTCTTGGAAGAATCCAAACTTTGTACTCTTTCCAGGTAAAAAGATGCAAAGCTGGCAATTTCAATGCAATCGTTCTCGTTAGAGATTCGTAAAGCTTCCTTCAAAGCTGTCAAGGACGATTGGTATTCACCCATATAGATTCCATAGAACACACCTTTCATTAAATATCCATGGGATTCCCGTCCTTTGTCATTGATACCTTTGGCTACTTCTATGACCTTTTCTGAATAT